CACAGTTGTGTGCTTTGGTGAGGCTAGGATAGAGTGGCCAAAGACATATGAGAGAGAGAGAGAGAGAGAGAGAGAGAGAGAGAGAGATTAAAAATGTTAATATTTGTGTCAAGTTAAGCCATAATTCACATCGAGAATAGTAGGGTTACAATTCATTGGTAGAGCATCTATTCTGCATGCAAAAGGCCTCTGGTTCATTTATAAGCATCTTCAGACTGGGAATGTATCATCTGAAACCACAGAGAACTGTTGCCTACCATTGTAGACAATACTGAGCTAAATGGACCATTGACCTTGTTCTGTATGAATCAGCTTCCTTGTGTGAGTGTGTGATTTATAAACATATTGTATCTTTTTGCTCTGGGGCTAGTTTAAGGATCTATCCTTGGCTTGGATGTCATTTGCCTTAGTCCTCTGAAATCCAGCCTGCATTCATTGCCCATACATTTTCAAGCCTGGGTTGTAAGCCCACATGGCTAGAATGTGAAATATTTAAAAATATTTGTAAGCCAAAAATCTCAGGATGTTGAATTTTTCATTTTGGATGGCGTAATGTTGGAATTGGGCTTGACCTCATTCTGGTTCCATGCAAGGGCAAAACTGCTTGTTCTTCTACCCTAGCCTGGGCTATATATAAAATATAATATTGCATTTGCTTTTTCAGGCCCACTTAATTCTTGTTTAGGGGGAAGGCATCCTTTTGCAAGTCTCTATCTCCTCATAAATATATTACGCCTTTTGCTGTAAAGTGAACAGGGCTTTGGCACCTGAAATTGGGGGCAGGAAGAAAGTTAATCTCAGCGCTTGAGTTTCATGGCCCTGATAAATAAGAACCATGTTTGACCTTTACTGCGGGTCTTTGAGATGCCACAAGGGAAATTCTTCCTTGTTTGCGATGACAAACTTCCTATGAGATTTCAGTTTGTCAGCTCAATGTACAGCAGTGACATTGATTTCTTCTCACTGCCACTTCCTGCCTGACTAGATAACAAATTTCCCGTGGCAGGTGTCTGTCAGGCTAAGTTTTGCCTGGCAGAGGAGTGGTGTAGACTCATTTATTAATCATTAGCTGCAACATGATGAACCAGACAATAATCTTTAACTCTTGTGGTGTTGAAAAACATGGAGGGGGATGTAGAGTGATAGAGACCTTACCGCCTACATGGTAGGAATTTATTGAGGGAAATTATAAGTATAGACCAGGGGTCAGCAAACTTTTTCAGCAGTGGGCCGGTCCACTGTCCCTCAGACCTTGTGGGTGGCCGGACTATATTTTGAAAAAAAATATGAACGAATTCGTATGCCCCAGAAATAACTCAGAGAGGCATTTTAAATAAAAACACACATTCTACTCATGTAAAAACACCAGGCAGGCCCCACAAATAACCCAGAGATGCATTTTAAATAAAAGGGCACATTCTACTCATGTAAAAACATGCTGATTCCTGGAAAGTCCACGGGCCAGATTTAGAAGGCGATTGGGCCAAATCCGGCCCCCGGGCCTTAGTTTGCCTACCCATGGTATAGACCAAATACAAGTTGCTAGTGCTTTTTCAGAACTGGCTTGCATCTCCGTATACCGTATTTTTTGCCCTATAGGACGCACTTTTCCCCTCCAAAAATGAAGGGGAAATGTGTGTGCGTCCTATGGGGCGAATGCAGGCTTCAGGAAGCTATCCCCCCAGCCCGACAAGCTCCCAGAGCGATGCCAAAGCTGCGTGCAGCTTCGCCATCACTCTGGGACCCGTTCTGGGGGCTGGGATCGGGGGAAGCTCCGGCTTCCCCCGCCCGCAGCCTCGCAAGCTCCGAGAGCGATGGCGAAGGTGCGCTCACCTTCGCCAGCGCTCTCCGACCTGCTCTGGGGGCGGGGGGAGCTCGGGCTTTCCCCGCCCCAGCCCCGCGCCTGGGGGGGGAAATAATTTTTTCCCCTTTATTCCCCCCCCCAAAAAAATCTAGGTGCGTCCTATGGGCCGGTGCGTCCTATAGGGCGAAAAATATGGTACTCTATAAAAGTGTGCTTTCTCCTATTTTAGTGGGCAGGTTTCTCTAGAGAACTGCAGATTATGAAAATCAGAGAAAGGCAAATTACCCCTTCCAACTTCATCTCTGTGATCCAGACCTTCATAAGATGGTGTGATGGTTCAAACATGGGAGTGTTGAAATATGCAGTCTGGGAAAGCTTCATGACTGACTCAGTTCTTAACAAGAAGCATAGGGAGGTTAAATCTGCACTCTGTAAGCTTGTACCCAGCAGGAGATATTCCCTCAGGCTGCTCTAGATGGGAAGATGGGAAGCCACTTAACTCCTCCTCTCCCTCTATTGCTCCTATTCCAGGTGGATATTTTTGAACCACCATGCAGCTTTCAGAATTGGTGCCTGAGTCTGCTTCTTTTCATCCTCCCTCCTCATCCCACTTTCCTTGGCCTTTTAGATTATAATAGGTCTGCTGGCCAGAGGAGCTGCCATGTTTTGTTTACTGATGTCATGGCAGCTCTAACAACCTTTTCAGCTTGAAAAATGGGGTGAAAAATAAGTAACTGCAAAATCCCACTGCAATTGCTCTCTTATAGTTTCTAAAGTAGCTCCAGAAGAAGGGGCAGCTAACACGGTTGGGTAGCTACAGGGACTGGAGTAGTTTTCTTAGGTGAACTGGTGTGAAGTGTGCTGCAGCACAAATTGCAAGATCAAGGACGGATCCCCTGAGGTGCTACTGTGGAGAAGACAGGGATGTGTACAAGGGGAAAGGAGTGAAGGCTACCGTCTTACCTCAAAGACTGAGGACAAGTTATTGAGTGTTGAGCCCAACTTTGCCTGGGAATTGGCATTTGTATGGGAGGGAAAGGAATCAAAGAAGTGTTGCCTCACCAGTAGGCATGGAGTGCATCTCTCCGGCCACTAAAGGGTGTTCTTACTCTGGTAGCTGGATCAATCACTACACCCCTTTCTCCCAAGAATTTCACTGAGTGACCTTACTCAGGACACTGCCTGGTTATATTGCAAAGATTTTGGTAGGAAACAACAAGCTTTCAGAACTAGAAATGTTATGTTCATTCTCTGAACTGCAGTTGAGAAACCTCAATACCACATGTACCACAATGTCACTAGAGGCATGAGATTCATTTGTTGCAGAAAGGCCTGTTTCCTCACCTACGGTAGTTAAGACAGAGAGTCATAGCCATGAAAAATAAGAGCTAGTATCACAACAAACTCCCATTTTATTATGCTGGCTTTCCATTTTTGGAAGTTGAAATTGAGACACATGCAGATGGTGATGTGGACAGATAGCCAGATGCAAGTGGTTTTTTTGAGTGAATATATTAGATTAATGTTAAGCGGTTACATCTGTTTCTTTGCTGTTTTGTTAAAAATGCATGTATTGGGTTAGTCATCTTCATAAAAAAAAGAAAGAAAGCGTAAACAATGCATGCCAGGCCTCTTGAGTGCATTTTAGAATAACGCTAAATTAAATGTCACAATGAATGGCTGGCTCTCAGCTTCACTCTTCCTTGTTGTAAGTCTGTATAGATTTAATAGGACAGCTACAATCTATGATGTAAACTTGTATGAGCTGAAGCCTGTCATGTTGACAGTCATAGTATAATAATGTTTTACATTTAAAGTTTCTAGCGCCTTTGTAGAAACCAGTTTTTGGAAAAACACATTATGGACATGATAAAATAACGCACATGATAAAATAACAATGGCTGCAGTCCAGCGCATAGTTAGGCAATGCTTAAACCTTGTTGAATTCAGAGGGACAGAGACAAAAGTACCTTTATGTTGATGGCGTCCCATAGAAGCAGCAAACAAGGATTTGCCTGTAAGGATTAATAATAAGATAGGACAGAGAAAGTTTCACTAAAGTTTGTGGGATTATTTCATACTGCTTTGTGAAGGGACAATTTAATGGCAAGAAGCTAATGTCTTTATCCGTAGCTTCTTAATCTTCCAGCAGAAAATAAAGGTTTACTAAATGTGCAGTAAACCAGATATCTCATCACAGCCTTACTGGCCCAGAGTGATTTCACACAATCTCTGTTCCACACCACAAAGTGGTGGTCTTGGATTTTATGAATGGATTTCATGCGCATTTAGCTGCCCTTTGCTCATGCGCAGAGTCTTTTTGGAGACTGGCTGTTGGGCCATGGGTTGTGGAGCTGCAAGGAGTGATGAGCAACCAAGCATTTGTTGTGTCTGCTCGCAGAACTGAGTGTCTATCTAAAAGAGGCTATAGAAAGTCATCGTGTGGTGGTAGTCATTGGAACCTTCCCAAGGCTTCTACCACTGTCAGTCAAGCCCTTGAATATTTGGACGAGGAATGGAAAATTTTCACCTCAACCATTTATATTTTTGAATCCAGGGGTTGAAAAGAGGGGCAGACAAGTATTTGGGTGCCTAGCCATGGCTGAGTGATGGAAATGTTAGATGGCTAACCTCCAGAGTTGCATTTTCAAGTGCTGACAACTTTGGTTCCCAAGTTATTAATAACTTTCGGGACTGACTCTGTTTCCAGTGGTCAGTATTGAGGTGAGCCAGATATCATAAATATAGTTTCCCTTATAGAGTGTCTTTAAGTCTTCGGTTTAACCTAAGCCTTTGTGACTGCGGAGCTCTAAAGCTGAGCTGGCAGTTCTTTGGCGAGCTAGATTTCTGTGCATAGCTTCTAAACCATCCTCTGTATGGCTTTGCCAGATGTTGAGTCAAACTTTCAAACTCACCATACTAAGATGGTGCCAGTTATTACTCTTAGAGGCCACCCTCATTACAATACGTTAACCTCTCGGCAGGGAATGTGCTAAACAGAGTCAAAGGTTCTGTAGCAAAACCAGCCATCTAACAAGGCGTGTGCATAATTTAATCCTCCAGGATTTATAAATTTAATAAGCTACAGTTCAACAAGTGAACAGTAACTTCCCAATTTAGAAAGCCGACTAACATGCCAGCATAATTTTTGCTTATATGACAGGTGTTTTTCCCCCCCTTTTCTCTCCTTTTCCAGATTCCTTTCTCCCTTGTACAATTTCCTCTGTGGGAGTCCTTAAAGGTAAGTCTCTCATACAAAGGTTTTGAAAGTGAAAAATATAAATGTGAATGTTGCCATTTTTAAAAATAGGTAAAATAAATGCAATGCAAAATTCAGTTGGGGACAAATCAATGGCCGAATGGTGATTAAGACCAAGAAAGACTAACCCTGAAAAACGAGTACAGGAACAAGGGGAGGTGGTGAATGTGAGATCAATGTAACCTATGAGTATGCTGCACGTAAATTTTGGCTAGATATCTCAGGGGAAAACTAAAACCTGCTTGTGAGGTTTGGTGGATGGACACAGTCTGATCATACGCCATTTTATTTTCTTTCCAAGTGTCACTGTTCTAACACACTGGGCTGTACCCATGACAGAATTGCATTGCTGACACCCTACTGCACTACCGTTTCTCATAGTTTCTTGTGAAGTTTGGGTGAAATAAAAGAAACTAGCACCACCATCCTGTGCTGCCTACTCAGAAGTTCAGTTCTCATTGAGTTCAGTGGGACATACTCCCAGTCAAGGCTGTGTAGTGGTGGCTAACCTTTGGCCTTCCTGATGAGATGTTGCTGGACAGAAAAGATAATGGCAGTGGCAGCTCTGAGGGAAAACTTCCATTATCTCTGACCATTGGGGGAATCTGACTAGCACTGATGGAACTTGGAGTTCATCAACACCAGGAAGGTGGCAGGTTAGCTGCAGGCTAGATAGGATTGGAGCCAAATTCTTTGTGGCAGCTTCAGAATGCGCACCCTGTAAGTGCTTGAAACAACCTAGAATGTTTGAAGCTAAATTAAATTGCCAATATTTCTCTACTCGTACTCCTTCAGCCCTTATTCCTCCCCTCCTTCCTGGATGTAACTCCTGCCCACGGTCTTAGGTAAAGGTACCCCTGCCCGTACGGGCTAGTCTTGCCAGACTCTAGGGTTGTGCGCCCATCTCACTCTATAGGCCGTGGGCCAGCGCTGTCCGGAGACACTTTCGGGTCACGTGGCCAGCGTGACATTCGCTGCTCTGGCGAGCCAGAGCCGCCACGGAAACGCCGTTTACCTTCCCGCTTGTAAGCGGTCCCTATTTATCTACTTGCACCCGGGGGTGCTTTCGAACTGCTAGGTTGGCAGCGCTGGGACCCGAACGACGGGACGCATCCCGCCGCGGGGATTCGAACCGCCGACTTTCGATCGGCAAGCCCTAGGCGCTGAGGCTTTTACCACAGCGCCACCCGCGTCCGCCCCACGGTCTTAAGTGTAAGCTAAATTGATCAGTGCTGTATATTCTGGGCTTAATGTGTTATATCATTTGGGTTTTAACCAAAGGGAAAGGAATTGGTTGCAAATCCTGCCCGCCTAGCCTGTAGTAATACACGTCATCAATTATTATCTGTGGTCCCGGGGAGATTTTTTTTTGTTTAGGGTGGTTTTATAAGCCAGTTCCTCTTTTAAATGAGGCATTGCGCTATCTTCTGAGGCATAGTTAACTTAAATTGTACTGGTGGTTTTGGAGTTGAAGCCACTCGCCCACTTGGAACTTGACTGAGACCACAAAATAATTTTACATAAACCACCAAACTGCTGTCAGATGCTAGTAAATTTCATCCACTACCAGGCTTTTGCTCGAGGGACATGAAAAGAAACGTGAAATATATTTTCCGTTCGAAGTTACCCTGCTGGAAGAAGCCCAAAACTGAAGCTTCACATAACTCAAAGAGAATAGTGTTTCTAATCATGCTTGCTTTATTCTTGATTGAATATTCAGTATGGATGGATTATAAGAAAATGCCACAAACAATTCTCATAGTAATCTAGTGCAGGAGTGCCAGTCCAGTGCCCACACATGCCAGGCCATGGTGCCCATTAAGGCCTTCATTACTGCCCTAGGGCAAGGGCCCCAGCTTTATTTTTTATTTTTTAAAAAGAAGCCTATAGTCCTTCTAGAAATAAAGTTATGAGGCAAAATATGCATGAACTCCTTCAAGCCATTTCTATGAAATGAGCCAGCCTGGCTGCTCTTGCCTGTCAGTGTTTTTAGCTTATGAGTGAAGCTACAGATGTGATTGATAAGTGAATTGTTTGCACACCAGAGTTTTAAACTGCTGTTGTTTTCTTTTGCTCTTTAATACACTTTAATACGGCCTTATTTCCAAGGCAGAAATTCAACATGTTAATCCTTTTCTTGTATGGAAAAACAGTTATGGAAAAAGTTTCACCATGATTGTACTCTCCCTATTGTGTTATGCCACCCCCCCATGGCAGCCATTTTGTGACTGGCACCCTGAAATTTCAAAATGAATCCCCCCCGATCCAAAAAGGTTGGCAACCCCTGATTTTATGGGACATGGTGGCAGAAAATTTAGGAAATACAGCAGTTATTCTAAGCTCTAATATTATTTGATTAAGAATGCCTTTGTAAGTGAAAGTAAATCTGAGATGTTTTGAAAAATAAAGAGAATGTTTCTTTTTGACATTTGAAAACTGGAATTTTCATTCTAAAAATGCCTTTGCAAATTTTGTGTTGGCTTAAAAGGGATTGTAACTTCCTGAATTATGAATGCTTTGGGTATAATATTGACAGAAAGCCATAAAGAAACTCAAAACATTTAAATAATTTTATTTATTTTAAATATTAATATGTCAAACAATAGCCATGTTCTCACTGCTTACAATACAGATTGATTAAAAATACATCAATCAACAATGCATGTAATAATAATAATTAAAAAAAACCAGTCGAAATTAAATGGATTTTAAAGTCCTGAGAAAATAAAAAGGTATTTGCCTCGAGCTGAAACTATATGAAGGGTAGTTTCCAGGCATGCTTCTCTGGGAGGACATTCAGTAGCATGGGTGCCCCCATTGAAAAGGCCCTTTCCCCCAGCAACCATCCACCACACCTCATCTGGTGGGGTACCCAGCGGAGGCATCAGAAGATGATCTTAAGTATGAGTAGGTGCATGTGGAGGCAAGCAGTCATTCAAGAATCCTATCTCCAAACACGAATAGCTTTGAGCAGGCTTCCTCAACCTCGGCCCTCCATATGTTTTCGGCCTACAACTCCCATGATCCCTAGCTAGCAGGACCAGTGGTCAGGGATGATGGTAATTGCAGTCTCAAAACATCTGGAGGGCCAAGGTTGAGGAAGCCTGGCTTTGAGTGTCACAATCAGCACTTTGAATTGGACCAGGAAACAGAATGGGAGCCAGTGAAACTGGCAAAGCACTGTTAAAGGATAAAAGAGCTCCTAAAAATGTGGACTTCTGAAGGACTGCAACTCATCCTCCTGGCTGAACTCACCTGGACAGATGAATCATAACAGTACTTCTGTCTTCTCTATATTGAGTTTCAGTTTATCCACCCTCATTCAGCCCACTACCATGCCCAAGCATTGCTTCAGCATCCCAGCTACCTCATCTGTGTTCAGTAAAAAAATAAGAAATAAGCCCCATTCAGGAATTCTGCATTAGGGTTGAGTGTAAATGTACAGGAGAGTGTGTGGACAAGCTCAGTAGCTTCACCTCAGTTGCTTTTCCAGTTACCCTCCAGTCTGAAGTGGGAGTTATTCATGGAGGCTACCCACACATTTTGAAATACCACTGAAGATGCTTTGGTAAATAGGGTGTAGAGGAAAGTTGCCTCAGAGCAGGAGATTGCACTGCCAGGCATGTGGGACCCTTTTCACATGTCTTGTCCCTGCGTTCTTCTAACTTGTGAATAGTCAGGCCTACAAATTATGCAGCCCACACAAAAGCTGATGGATTGGTGGTTTTCTATTTATATTTTGCAAAGAGGTGCATCTTCGACCTGTTTCCCTCCTCACATCATGAAAAACATAGAAGTTTAAAAGGCTAGGCCAGGCATCCCCGTACCCGGCCCTCCAGATGTTTTGGGACTACAATTCCCATCATCCCTGACCACTGGTCTTGTAAGCTAGGGATGTTGGGAGTTGTAGTCCCAAAACATCTGGAAGGCCGAAATTGGGGATGCCTGGGCTAGGCCAATGCCTTGAGTGGCAGTATCCCAATCTCATCTTTGGAGGTCCTTCTCTTTTGGCTAGGCAAAGAAAGGAGACCAGGCCCCTAGTATTTATCTCAGAAATCCAGGGATTTTTTACTTGCAATACAGTCGTACCTTGGATCCCAAATGCCTTGGTACTTGGATGTTTTGGCTCCCGAACGCTGCAAACCCGGAAGTGAGTGTTCTGGTTTGCGAATGTTATTTGGAACCTGAAAATCCAATGGGGCTTCTGCGGCTTCCAATTGGCTGCAGTAGGAAGCCAATCAGAAGCCGCGCTTTGGTTTCTGAATGTTTTGGAAGTCGAATGGACTTCCGGAACAGATTCTGTTCGACTTCCAAGGTATGACTGTAACAGTGTGGTTGATTTTTTCACATCTTTATTTCCTTGTGGGCTTCACAAGGGCTCCAGTAGCTTAAGCACCCACAGTCTGTGGTAGCTCACCAGACCAGGCCTTAGCATCAAAACCCCGAGATTTCCAGTTTAGTGAGATGTGCACCTACTTGGGAACTTCTGAATCTATTACTATCAAACATATCAGGTCTTATGAAACCAATTGGCTTGTTTATGAGGTGCTTTTTGGCAAAGGTGTCTTCGTCATCCTGGCATCTGGGAATCGTCTCAACCTTTAGGATAACTTCACTTGCCTTATTTGGAGTCTGCCGTGATACCATAGTGTTGTGGCAGCTTTCCCTTAAGTTGTGTACTGTAGAACTAGCCCAACACAGTAATTGCTAAACAGGGTATAATTTTGTTCTGGACAATGGAGATGACAGCATTAAGGGGAGGCGGGAAAGAGCCACCGTGTGCTTTCCAAGAAACCCCCAACCACATTTAAAAACAGGAGTGTGATGTAGTGATTCTCAGAATACAAGGCTGCTTCAGGATACATTCAAGATGCTCTGGAGGTGAAATGTATTATAAACATAGGGCATGAAGTACACTGGTGGAATTCAGCTCACAAAGTAAATAGGCAATTGGGGTTTCGGAGAGAGTGTAATCTAAACAG